AAAAAAAAAAAAAAAGACAACCAACTAGGAGAAAATAGTTAATATGTAGACAACAAAGTTATTATCTGTAATATATAGAGCTCCCAGGAATCAATAAGGGGGCAAAAACAGCCCAAAAGAAATAAAGGCAAAGAATATGAACAGAATTAACAGAAGAAATAAGTGATAAACATGTAAAAATGTTAATATAATAAGGAAATGTAAAAATCATGTGCCACCCTTTTTCACATATCAGATTGGCAAGTACAAAAAGATGGTTAACAGGGACACCTGGGTGGCTCAGTCGGTTAAGCAACTGCCTTCAGCTCAGGTCATGATCCCAGGGTCCTGGGATTGAGTTCTGCATTGGGCTCCCTGCTCAGTGGGGAACCTGCTTCTCCCTCTGCCTGCCGCTCCCCGTTTGTGCACTCTCTCTCTCTCTGACAAATAAATAAAATCTTAAAAAAAAATTTTTTTTTAAAGATAATAGCATCCAGCTCAGTAGAGGGGGCTGGACTGCTGGTGGAAGAGGGTTTCGGGATTTGGATGCACGCTATTCACTGAGGGGCTCAGCTGGAGTCTGGCTTCAGCCTCATCCCATGGGGAGCTCTGACACAAGAATGGCACCTACAGAGTCTGTCCCACCTCGAGACAGGAGGCCCCTGCTTTCTGTCCCCCAGGGTCAAATCACTGGCAGTAGACTGACCAGGACAAGGGTGGGGAAGAGGTAACTTTCCGAACAAGGTGGCACCTGTCATGTAAGGGCATGTCTCTGGAGATGAGGCAGCTGTGTGCCATTAGCAGCCCACACGTCTCAGCAGCTGGGAACTGGGTGCACCAGCCTGAGTAAGGAAGATCTGGGTAGGGCACCAAGAATGTCTCACTATATGGGATAAGTGAGTACAAGTTTTCTGGAGGGTGATAATTAGCAGTTTAAAAAACACAACTTCTAATAGTGTCTTAGATTAGAGAGGTCTATTTCCAAAGAAGTACTAAAATACACACGTAAAGATTATTTTCATCGCAGCACTGTCTTTAACAGCCACACTGGAATTCTAGTCACTCAAGACCCTGGTCTATACTTAAACTCACAGGAAACAATCCTTATGATATACTGTTGAGTGCAGTAAACATGATGAAGAAAAATGCTCGTCATGTGACTCGAGTATGTTTCACGAACAGAAAAGCAGAATGTGAGCGTATGAACACAGAGTTGTATATAGAGAGGGAGAAGATGCTGAAGTGCACATACCACACTGTTAATAATGTTTACCTTCAAATACTGTGATATAGCAAGACAAGGAGTGAAGAAAAGATGGGGGAATACCACTTCTTTTACATTCTTCCTGTTGTCTGAATGTTTCAAGAATGTATTACTTTTACAACAAAGTTTTTTTGAATTTATTTTTTTAAAGATTTTATTTATTTATTTGACAGAGAGAGCACGAGGGAGAGCACATGCAGGGTGAGGGGAAGAGGGAGAAACAGACCCAATGCGGGGCTTGATCCCAGGACCCTGGGATCACGGCCTGAGCCGAAGGTAGATGCTTAACTGACTGAGCCACCCAGGTACCCCCGGAACTTAAATATATATTAGCAGTAAGCTTTAGGTTTTCAGGTGTTTCCTATTCCTGAGTTTTAACTTGAAAAACCTTACAGTAAAAGAAAATTAAAACTGATTTCAGACTATGACTATGAGGCACACTCAGTATTAACTTCAGTCAACAAGTATGTTAGCTTTGGTAGAAATGATCTGGAATCAGAGAAGCATGGGGTCCCCATAATGGATGGCCAGCTACAAAGCCACACTTAACAACAACCATAACTCTCTCCCTCCTTCTAGCTACCATGTTTTAGATGCAGGGGACGATTCTGCTAACGGCAGGGCCTCTTATCCAAAACTTGCCACTACTTCTCAGACATCAATGTGTTAAAATCAGGATCTCGAAGAGGTATCTGTGCCCCCATGTTCACTACAGCACTATTTACGATAGCTAAGATGCAGAAACAATCTAAATGTCCATCAAGAGATGAATGGATAAAGCAGATGTGGTGCATACATATATGGAATATTATTTTTTTTTAAAAAGAAGGAAACCTTGTAATATGCAACAACGCAGATGAACTTTGAGGACAGTATGCCAAGTGAAATAAGCCAGACACGGAAAGACAGTACTGCCTGATGCCACTTCCATAAGGAATATAAAATAGTCTAATTCATAGAAGCAGAAAGTAGAATGGTAGTTGCCAGGGGCTAGAGGAGGGAGAAATGGGGAGTTGCTCACTAAAGGGCATAGAGTTTTAGTTAGGCAAGATGAGTAAGTTCTAGAGATCTCCAAGTAATACTGTGCCTATAATTAACAATATTGTTATCGTGCACTTAAAAATCTAAAAAAAAAAAAAAATCTATGAAGAGGGTAGGTCTCACGTTAAGCATTCTCACCACATACACACATACACAAAAACAGGAGCAACAGGACATATTTTAAACAGAAAAGTTATCAAAAGGGAAAAATCAATAGGGGAAAAAAGTGAAAGAAACAGAATTAAGTTACAGTGACCAAGAAAAGCCTATTAACAACTTGGAGTGAAAAACTTTATTTTGTGGTGTGAGCAGGAATCAGGTTTTATTTCTCTCTATATCCCTAGTACCTAGCACAAAGAGGCACTTGATCTTTTATTATTAAATTAAGAGAGCTTGATGTGGGAATTAAATTGATATTATGAATTCAATTTTTGATCATTTATTTTCTAGACCTGAGAATTAAAGAAAAGAGAATGGCAAGACTAAAGAATTTCTGAGACCCTGGATTACCAAGCTACAGAAAGCTGGGAGAAGTCATTTCTTACCAAGATGTACACTTTGCCATCATGACCTTGAATAGTGAATCTAAAAGTGCTTCTAGCAGAGGAGAGTTCCACCAGACACTGGGCGATAACATTCTGTACAAACTGAGACCTGTTTGAACAGAAATCAATTTTCACAATGTGCCTTTCATAATAACTCTAACTGGCAAGAGGAGCCAAAAATACCCACAGGGTACCTAAAAGGCAGAGGTGTGTGCAGCCAGACTTTTCTATATGCTACCCATTCCTTCACAGACTGTGCTAATGTGGATTTTAATATATTTTAATGTATTTGTGTTTGCTCCAGTCTTCTTATAACCTATTCTCCAATCCTTAACACACTTCCCACCCCAAACCTAACTATTCCTCTTGACTGAATAAAAAAATACTGTATTAGTCAATATTCCATTTGTGCTGTAGCACATTAAACAGTAAGTTAAAAAAGGCGGCGAGATATTTCCTCCCAAACATTAGACAGTATTAAATACAATGTCTTCCATTTGCATCCCCTCAAAGAGTCAGAGCTGAGGCACAGAATCAAAGTATTTACAGAAGGATAAATTTTAAGGTTATATTCAGATTGCCATAATTTTTAGATATCCATAAATAAACTGAAAGACATACTATAGTTAACTTCTGTTTGCAAACTAAAAAGATTCAAAGAGAGAAAACGCTAACGGATGTAGTGGCTAAGTAACTTTTTTTTTTTAAAACACAGGAGTCATTTGAAAACTGACTCATGTTTCAAATTTTAAATGTCAAATTAATTCCAGAAATAATTATTCAAAAACCTATTGATTAAGTTATAAGACCTTGATTATCTGACAAACAGAAGCACAAAAAACTTTCAGATTTAGAAGATTTATATCATGAGCACATTTATTTATGCCACTATGTAATAAACAAACCATAAATGAATCCTCGAGTCTTTTATATGTGTGGTTTGGTTCAACTGTCTAAAAGCCTTTTTCGAAGGTTGTTATTTTTCTTTTCCAAATAAAGAAAGGTATAAATAAAAATGAATTCCCAAATAATCAATTGTACATATCATTCTCCACATTTGAAATTACAGAATAAATTTAATTTGCTGTTTGTACCTTGGTATGATGGAAAAATTTCTTTCAGACGGCTGAATAATTATCTCTGTTATATAAAACTTGGTGGTTTCTAGAAACAAAAATAAGAAAACTTAAAATCTCCTTGTTGCACTAACATTTTTATGGTGGGCATGTTGGTCCTAATTACAACATCCCAAACTAAATATTTCATACACATACTGGTAAAATTCACATTCAGTAAAAATTTTCCCAAAATGACTTAGTGTAAGACACCAACACATTGATGTCTACAAGGAGAGCATCCTGAGACTTGGGAGGGCCTGGTGTTTTAGAAGACATGCCACAAGTGAATACTGGCACAACGACACTCTGTTCACACGCATGAAAGGTTAGAAAAATCAGCCACGTTACAGCCACAGCCCACTTATGTAGAAACTAGTCATTTGATTTCCCCATTTCTATAGTCTTAAACCTAGGAGTCACTGGAAAAGGCTTTTGAATCACGGTGTCCCAAAGCCCATGCAAAGATGCTGTAACCCTCTTATTAGTATTTCCCAGAATCTCACCAAGTCTATTAATGTACAATTCCCAACAAATCTGGTTATCTAATTACTTAGTTTACAGAAACATTTAAACGGTAAACTAAGTATCTTACAGAAATGAATATAAACATAACCATTCTGAATTTTTTAAGAAATCCATGAAAAATGTTTCTTTTCACTAGTAATGAAGGAAATACAAATTAAAAGGAGATATTCTTTAGCATCAAATAAATATTTGTGAATGACAAAATGCAGCAATGAAGAAGATATGGAGAAATGGGTATACTTGTTCACATATTGCTATCAGAACTGCAAATGACACATTTCTGGAAAGCCACTTGATGAAGACCTTAAAAATATTCTGATGCCAATCATTAAACACCTAAGAATTTATCTCGACGAAATATTCATGTCTATAAAAATTTATCTATAAATATGCTCACATTAATTAAACTGAAAACAAATTGTCTAAAAATTGAGAATGGTTGGGCTAAACAATTATACATTTAGGCAAGAGAATTCCATGCAATAATTAAGAATGGTGTGCCGAACAATTCTGAATTAAGATGGAAAGCTATTCTCAGTACATTTTCTGAGAATGTTTTCAATTGCTCAACACACAAAAAAAGGCAGAAAAAATCAATAGTTTAACAGAGTATTACATATCTAGAGCCATGATGATGAAGTTATCTATTTCTCCTTTAAGTTCAATTTTTCATTTTACTATTTTGAAATCATGTTACTAGATGCAGAATTGAACCTTTTAACATTATGAAGTGATCCTTTTTATCCCAGCTGCTGTTAAACTATAATTTGATTCTACTATTTTAATCCTACAAGGTATTACTACTGCTTTATGCAGTTAGCATCCACTTAATATTCTTCCACGTATTTACCACTGTCTTTACCAATCCTTCTTAAGCTTAGACCCTCTATCTGGGATCATTTTCTTCTTCTTCTTTTTTTTTTTTTTTAAAGATTTTGTTTATTTAACAGAGAAAGACACAGCGAGAGAGGGAACACAAACGGGGAGTGGGAGAGGGAGAAGCAGACTCCCTGCCGAGCAGGAAGCCCGATGCGGGACTCGATCCAGGGACTCCAGGATCATGACCTGAGCCGAGGGCAGTCGCTTAACCAACTGAGCCACCCAGGCGCCCTGGGATCATTTTCTTCTATTCTCTACAGGTAGAATTCTATTCTTCCACAAGTATAATTTCTTTTAATAAAAAACCAAACCACTAGAAATGAATTATTCTAGTTTTTGTCAGAAAATATCTTTGTCTTGATTCTTTCATATAGAACATTTTCACCATATAAAATCCTAGGTTAAGTTTTTAACCTTTGTGCTCATTGACACTATCAACCCATTGTCTTCAAACTTCCATTATTATTGCTCCTTTGAAAGTGATCTGTCATTTTTCTTCAATTGTTTTTAGGATTTTCTGGTTTTTGTTTGTTTTGCAGTATCATTCTGTATGTCTCGCTATAAACTTATTTATCTTACTTGGGTCTCATTTAATTAGAATTCATTGGACCTCCTCAATCTGTTGCTTACTGTTTTCCACCACTTTTGTAAAATTCTTAGCAATTGTCTCTTGAAATATTGCCATGCTCCCTTATATTTCTTTTCCTTCTAGAAGTCTGACTAAACATATGTTAGAGCATGGAGGTTCTTCAAAAAGTTAAAAATAGAACTACCCTATGATTCAGCAATTGCACTACTAGGTATTTACCCAAAGAATAAAAAAAAATACTAATTCAAAGTGATATGTGCACACTGATGTTTATAGCAGCATTATCAACAATAGCCAAATTATGGAAAGAGCCCAAATGTCCATTGACTGATGAATGGTGGTGTGTATATATACATACACACAACACACACACACACACACACACTGGACTATTACTCAGCCATAAAAAGAATGAAATCTTGCCATTCACAACAATGTGGATGGAGCTAAGTAAGTCAGACAAAGACAAATACCGTATGATTTCACTCATATGTAAATTTAAGTAACAAAACAAATGGGGGCGCCTGGGTGGCTCAGTCAGTTAAGCATCAGACTCTTGATTTTGGCTCAGGTCATGATCTCAGGGTTGTGAGATCAAGCCCTAAACCTGACTCGGTGCTGGGTATGGAGCCTGCTTAAGATTCTCTTCCTCTCCCTCTACCCTTCCCCACCCCCACCCCACTCTCTCTCTCTCTCTTAAAAAAAAAAAAATCATAGAAGGAAAAAAGAGAGGAAAAACAAGAAACAGACTCTTAACTAAAGAGAACATACTGATGGTTATCAGGGGGAGGTGGGTGAGGGGATGGGTTAAATAGGTGATGGGGATTACGGAGTACACTTATTGAATGAGCACCAGGTGCTGTTATGTAAGTGCTGAATAACTAAACTGTACACTTGAAACTAGTATTACAGTATATGTTACGTGGAATTCAAATAAAAACTAAAAAAACAAAAAGCATGTTAGATCTTCTCGGTGTATGTTTTATGTCTCTCTCCTATATTTTTTGCCTTCTTGTCTCTCTGTGCTAGATTACAGATATTTCTTCTCATCTATCTTCTATTCATTAATTCTTTCTCCAAGTTGTACCTAATCTGCCATTAAATCATCCATTAAATTCTAAATTTCTGTTACATATTTTTTAGAAATTCTATTGTTGATCTTTTCCAAATATGCTTGCTCTTGTTTCCTTTGCCTTTTGATACCTTCAAACCTGTCTCTCATATCGTTCAATAGACAAAAGCACGATTGTTCTAGTTTACATCTGATAATTCTAGTAAGAGAAGTTTGTTTCTGCTGTTTCTGTTTTTGTTAGTTCTTGATGAAGGAAATCTAGTTTACTTGTGTGCTTATTTGTCTTTGGTTGTATGGGGAACACTGTACTTGACAAATTATTTGTGGGCATGTGAGTTTTACAATGAAGGTATTTTACTCCAGAGGTGATTTACATCTGATTTTGCCAGGCATATGGGTGTTATAGCTAGTCCAAGACAGACTAACCAAGCTTAAGACTTGAAATTCCTTAAAGTGACAAAGGATTGATACCTATCCCTAATTCCACATTCACAGTAAGGGTATGGCTCTTTAGGGTCCCAAATTTTTGTGCAGAGTCATCCACTAGGTTCCTTTTTTGTGTAGTCTTTATGTCCTTACTTCTCAAAGCAATCAAAATAATTTTAGAGAAGTGGCATATTGCAGGGAAAAGGTGGCTTCAATTTTGTGCTAACCTTTGAGTTTGCTCTTGTGGTAATTTACCCATATATTTTCCATTTATCTTGATCTTCATTCCTTCCTGTGGATTCCAATCACCATTTGGTATCTTTCACTTCAGCCTGAGGAGCTTTCTTTAGCATTTTTTGTAGAGAAGATCTGCTAATAATGCATAACCTCCATCTATTATATGAAAATGCTCTTATTTTGCCTTCATTTTTGAAGGACAGTTTTGCTGGATATAGAATTGTTAGTTGACAGGTTTTTTTCTTCTTTCTTCCCCACCCCCCCCCAAGAATTTTGAATATCTCATTTTAGTGTCTTCACTATTTCTGCAAAAAGTCAGCCTTAATTGTATCAGGAAGTCCCTGTATGTGATGTTCCATTTTTCTCTTGTACTTTCAAGATTCTCTCTTCATCTTTGGCTTTTATCAGTTTAACTACAATGTGCCTGGTGAAGTGCTCTGTGTGTTTATCCTACCTTTCACTGCAATTCTTGAATCTAAGAGTTAATATTTTTCAGCAAATTTGCCAAGATTTCAGCCATTGTTTTCTACAGATACTTTTTCCTGAGTTATTTTTTTCTTCTTACCTCTGAGATTCCATTTACACATTAACTGAAACATCTGATATTGTCCCACAAATCTCCGAGGTCCTGTCCATTTTGATTCAGACTTTTTCTCTCTGTTCTTTGCATTGGTTAATTTCTATTAATATACCTTCAAGTTCAATGATTATTTTTTCTTCAGTCATCACAAATATGTAGTTTAGCTGATCTAGTGAATTTTTTAGATACTGTACTTTTCAGCTCTGTAATTACCAATAGTTCTCTCTCTCAAGTTTCCAATTTGTTGAGATTTGCCATTAGTTCACTGAAGAGGTTTTTTTCCCCCTTTTAATTCTTAGCCATATTTATAATAGCCACTTTAACATCTTTGTCTACTAAATCTAATGTTCGTGCTTACTCAGTACCTGTTTGCTGAGTCCTGCTTTTGGGTATCAATCACTCTTTTGTTTCTTTGCAAGTCTAATAATTTCTAAATGGAAGTAGGACACTGTATGTAATATAATGTTGCTATTCTGGATTTTGTTTTGTTCTTTTAAGGGTTGTTGGTTTATAATAGTCAATTAACTAGCCTGGACTCAAACTATGAAATATGTCTTCCCACAGCGTGTAGCTGCTAATGTTTCTGCTCAGTTTTATTTTGCTTAGCCTGGCTCCCTAGAAACTATTCACTATACCTGCAGAGTTTAGCTGTCAGCAAATCTGGGGAGAGGTTTTGCTCAAATACCTCAAGTCATTAAGGCTCCTACCTTCTGCTGCCCAATTGTGTATAGATTGAGAAATGAAATCAAACACATGGGAAATGTGCAGGTCTCCCAAGCTTTTAATTCTTATTGGACTCTCTGGCCTCTATTGTACGCATTTAACAGTCAGTCAGAGCTATGTGAAGAAGTTATCATCTCAGCCCATCCCCCTGCCTCTTGCTTCCAAAATCTCCCTCTTAAATTTCTAGTTTCTCCTTTGCTTCTTGCTCCTTATAATGACTATAATGATACCATGGAAATGTTCCCTTTCTTGTTCAGCCTTCTGTTTTCCTGCAGTGCATAACTGCTTCCTTTTTCATGTGTTTAGTTTTCCAAGCACCTTTAGCTAATTCCTTCCATATGATAAAATGGCTTATCTCAAGATTGTTATGTCTGGTCAAACAAACTGAAGAATGTATCAGTTCATCTTGTAACTGAAAAAATGTTTATTGCAATCTTCTCTCCTTTGCTTCAATCTAGGCTCTTATTTCCTGGGCCTGCCTGTGTGTCCCTCACCCTAGGATTCCCTTATCTGTGTTAGATAATCTGTTTCCCAAATCCCATGTCTTCTCTCTAAAGGTTAAATCCTTAGGTTTGGTGAGGTATATCCTATGGTACATTCCTAAGGAAAATATAACATTTGAGGTCTGTGTTTTGAGACACTGCATTTCCAAAACTGTATGTGTTATCTTCATACTTGATTGATAGTTTGACTGTGATAGAATCTTTTCCCTTCTAAATTATGAAGGCATTACTTCACCATCTTCTAGATTTCAACAATGCTATTAAGAGTTCAGTGTCATTCTAATTCCTGATCTTTTGTATACTACTTGCTTTTTTTCCTCCAGATACTTCTTCCTTGGTGTTCAGAAATTACTCAATGATACAGCTTTGAGTAGCTTCCCTGCCATCCCATTAGTCCTACTGGACATGTAGTGGGCCCTTTCAGTTGAGACACTGAAGCCCTAGCTCTGGAAAATAGCCTTACGATGTTTTTTTAGTATTTCTGTTCTTTGATAATTTCCTAAACTCTGTTGTCTCTAGTCTTTCTTTCTAGAATTTCTATTAGCTAGATGTTGAATATCCTAAAAGTCTCCATTCATTCATTCATTCAACAAATATTTACTGGGTACCCACTATATTTAGTGCTAAGGTTACAGTGATAAATGAGATAGACAATATCTCTATCCTCAGGAAATTTACATGATGATTTTTTTCCCTATAATTCCTTTCTAATTTTCAATCTCTGCATTTTGGTTCTGATTTATGAGAGAAGATAGTTCCCTAATTTATTCTCTAGTCCTATGATTAGGTTTTTTAGGCAATCACATCTTTCAGTCTACATTCTTTGAATTATGGGGGCAATATTATTCCATTTCTTTAAGAACATTATTTTTGTTAAAGATTTTCTTCTGTTTTATACATGTCTTTCTTCTCAGTGCCTTTATTCTGTTTACCTCATTATTTATTTACTTCAGTCTCTTTTATAGTTGGAGGTTTGCTCAAATACTTGTTGATTCTCATCAATCCATTCATATTTAAGTGTAAGGTAATAAATGCTGACAGGAAACTCTCAGGTGTAGGTACAAGGCTTGTTGACTGTAGGATGGCTGAATCTCATTTTACTGTGGAAAGACACTTACAAATCAGTGTCTGCACATCTCTTCTCTGGTTGGTATTCTTCCATTTTCCAAGAAAAGAGTCATCTAATCTCCTGCCTTGAGAGTATAAGCAAGTTGTAAATAGAGGAGGAATCTTAGTTGTCTTAAGCTCCATATAAAAATTTTGAATTAATCATCCTTCCTCCAGTCCCTTGTCTCAGACTGCTTTCCCTGTTACCTGCTGCCTCCAAATTCTGAGCAGACCAGCTCTGAGGCTCTACAGTGAGTACTGGCTCACTCCTCACTCAGATGATCTGCAGACACTGAGGCTTCAACTTCCTCCATACTGTCAAGCGTGTTCCCACACCTCTCAGCTTTACAGCTTCCAAAAGAGTCTGCTTATACCTCTTGTTTACATCACTGTTGCTTCCTCTCCATTTTTCTTTCTCTGTGGATGTACATCTTTTTTATTCCTTAACTGACATTTTAACTGGCCTTCAGGGAGAAGAGAAAAGAATAAAAAAAAAATCAATTCACCTAATTTGACTAGAAGCCTTAACATTTTCTAAGTTGTTGCTTAGAGCACTTGCTTTCATTCTCCAAAACGACGTTGAAGGTGGCATCCTTTACCCCTACTCATTCTTCCTTTTCTGTTCACTCTGAGCAAGTTAACTTACAATATTCTGATAATTTTAAAATACAAACCAAAAAGACCGCCATCTGCCTTCTCTTAGGTACACTAGCTTCACTTAAATCACATCTTCTAGTTAATTATATTAAAAACAATTATTCATCAACCACAAAGCTAATGCAGCGTATTGTAGCTCTCCATTTTTTAAATCTTATCTTTAAATAATGATGCAATTTAATTATCAGGATTTTATTATATTTCAAAGTGGTATAACAGACTTTACATAAACATAATGAACAGGATTGGGAAAAGAACAAGGAACAGAGTACAAAACTCAGAATGTGGTTTCTTCCATTTCAACCCCTAGCCCTAACATAGAACCCTGAGGCAGAGGGCAGCCAAGAAAACTTCTTCATCGTCTTTAGCAACCAACAATTCTGATTGAGGAGTTGTACTGAGAAAAAAGCTCCACTATGCTTTAGGACAGACCCAGGTACAAACTTTATACTATTGCTTTATATCCACAGAGAGGATATGAAATATTGAAAATGACCCAACTTCTTAATGCTTAAAACGCAATACTATGTACTTATAAAGGTCAAAATACACAAACTTCTTGGCATATTAGATGATATATTAGCTGATTTCTATTTTAAAAATCATCAATTCTACAACATATATTAGTTACCTTTCATATAGATTTCCTATAAAATCTCCTTCTACTCCTTTTTAACAAGAAGGCAATCATTTTGGCTTTTTTATTATGAAATTCTTACCTGATGACATGGTCTCTCCCAACATTACCTTGCAACGCTTACAAATTACTTTGGTATTTGCCTTTGGTTTCTGTAGAACAGAAAAATGTCATTTAAATGTCATTCAGCTTTTCTTAAAAGGAATATATAATTTTTACATAGTCTCTAGAGTATACATTGAACTTTACATTTTATTTTGCCCTCTACTAAATACTGGGAACACATTTAGCTTGTATGCATAATTCACATGCACAGAGATCTTTTTTTTTTCAAATCTAAAGAAAGAATAATGAACAGACTGATTTTTCCAAACTTAGTCACTTCTTGATAATCTAACTGTTGTAAATAATTTGAACAGGAAGCACCTTACATTTCTAAAAAGCACTTCCAAACAACCATTACCATTTAGGATAGACAGACGGTGGACAACAAAGGCAGAGAGAGTAGGTGACTTGTCCCAATTCATGTTTCTAGAAAACAGGAGAATCAAAACCTGGAGCCATTATTTTGACTCCTAGTCCAGTGTAACTTATGTAAAAGTAATCTGATTCATAACCACTCATCAGAAGTCAAAAATATTTAACCCATTCATCTAATTCTATTTTTCCACTAAGATATGCATTTTAACTGGAAAAACCGGAAAGTGTTCTGAGACAAATTCCTGATGCATTCTTAAACTTCAAAAATCCAAATTCATTCATTTGGGATACAGATTAAATGGCTAGCATCCATCTAATCATTAAGCAAACAAACAAAAATGTTCTCTTACATTCAGAGAACAGATTGGTGGTTACCAGAGGCAGGGGGTGGGGTGGTAAAAATGGGTGAAGGGGGTCAAAAGGTATAAACTTCCAGTTACAGAACATGGAAGTCATGGGGATGTAATGTACAGCATGGCAACTATAGTTAATAATACTGTATTATATATTTAAAGTTGCTAAGAGTAGATCTTAAAAGTTCTCATCACAAGAAAAAAGATTTGTTGTTATGTATGGTAATTGATGTCAACTAGACTTATCATGGTGAATATTTTGCAATACATACAAATATCGAATCATTATATACCTAAAAGTAATATAATGTTATATGTCAGTTATACCTCAAGTTAAAAAAAACTTACTGATTTGTAGTTTTTTTTAAGACTTTTTAAGTTTTTTTTATAAGTTATGTTATAAGCAATAGCATGGTGGCTAAGAGCCCTGAGTCTGGGCCAGACTTCCTAAGTTTCAATCCCAGCCCTGTTATTTACTACACACATGACCTTGAGCAAGTTGATTAACCTGGTTTGGTTTCCTCATCTGTAAAAGGGAGTTAACAGTAGTGCTTAACTCATAGTGTTGTTTATTAGGATTTAAAAAGGAGTGTTATAAAGCACTGTCCTGGGTACATGGTAACTACTAAGTGGATGTTACATAAACAAAATATACTTTTGGCACACATCATTCAAGATAGGCTAAAAACCCATACCTTCCCAAAAGGGACCAATTTTTGTCTTTTACTGGACAGCCATTCTGTATTAAGAATCTACCAAAAAAAATGTTTTTTTCACATCCATAGCAATATCTTTGTTAAAGCCCTTCAACATTCCTCTAACAAAGATACACTGCAACATGGCAGAAGTCGCATAAAAGTGGGCAGGGAGAAGGAATTTCTGCAACTCTGGCCATCTCTTCTGGGAAACCACAGAATAGAGTGCTGGTCTAAGTAAGGAATGAGTGCCTTTCTAATGTGGGATAACGTATGTATTGATCTAAAGAATCTTAACTGATTAAGGTAAGTTTGAGTACAATTACATTTTCCTTAGCATTAATCACTACTTCCTAAAAAACTACATAAGAGGCACATTTAAACTGAGTTCCATGGATGTGCTCCTAGTAACTGATAGAGCTGGTATTTTAATCTAGATCCCTTCGATGCTAAACCTTGTGCTTCTATGTCCACAATAGCCAAACTATGGAATAAGCCCAGATGTCCATCAACAGATGAACGGATAAAGATGTGGTATACATATACAATGGAATACTACTCAGCCAACAATAACAAGAAAAAAATGAAATCTTGCCATTTGCAATGACATGGATGGAGCTAGAGGGTATTAGGCTAAGCAAAATAAGTCAATCAGAGAAAGACAATTATCATATGATCTCATTCATATGTGGGATTTAAGAAACAAAACAGAGGATCATAGAGGAAGAGAGGAAAAAATAAAACAAGACAAAATCAGAGAGGGAGAAAAACCATAAGAGACTCTTAATCATTGGAAACCAACTGAGGGCTGCTGGAGGGGAGGGGGGTGGGAGGATGGGGTAGCTGGGTGATGGGACATTAAGGAGGGCACGTGATATAATAAGCACTGGGTATTATATAAGACTGATGAATCACTGAACTCTACCTCTGAAACTAATAATACATTATACATTAATTAATTTAATTTAAATTAAAACAAATTTTAAAAACAAATAAATAAAACTTGTGCTTCTAAGCACTATGTCAAGTGTTTTCCAAACTAATTCATAGAATCAGTTCAATTGGTTACGGCCTGCGTTTTTTTTTTAAAAAAGATGAAACAGAGGGGCACCTGTGTGGCTCAGTGGGTTAAGCATCTAACTCTTGATTTAGGCTCAGGTCATGATCTCAGGGTCATGAGATCAAGCCCCGTGTCAGGCTCTGTGCTGGGCATGGAGCCTGCTTAAGAGTTTCTCTCTCCCTCACCCTCTGCCATGCTGGCTCTCTTTCTCTCTCTCTAAAAATAAAAAAATAATAAAAATAAAATAAAAAGATGAAATAGAACTATCACAGTACTTCAAACACAGTGTAAGTACTACTTCAAGAAACTTTTACTTGCTCTTCCCCTAAATGGCCTGAGGTGACCTCTGAAAATGGTTTGCTATTCGCTTGACCCAGAAAACCCTATGAAATCATGTAAATCAAGAGGTTCAAATCTTCGTGTTCACTTTAAGAACACACGTGAAACTGCCCAGGCCATCAAGGGTATGCATATCCGAAAAGCCACCAAGTATCTGAAAAACGTCACTTTACAGAAGCAGTGTGTGCCATTCCGTCACTACAATGGTGGAGTTGGTAGGTGTGCCCAGGCCAAACAGTGGGGCTGGACACAGGGTCGGTGGCCCAAGAAGAATGCTGAATTTTTACTGCACACACTTAAATGCAGAGAGTAATGCTGAACTTAAGGGTTTAGATATTGATTCTCTGGTCATTGAGCACATCCAGGTGAACAAAGCCCCCAAGATGCGGCGTAGAATGTACAGGGCTCATGGTCGGATTAACCCATGCATGAGCTCTCCCTGCCACATTGGGATGATCCTTACTGAAAAAGAGCAGATTGTTCCTAAACCAGAAGAGGAGGTTACACGGAAGGAAAAGATATCCCAGAAGAAACTGAAGAAACAAAAACTTATGGCCCAGGAGTAAATTCTGCAGAATAAATGCAAATTAAAAAAAATTAAAAAAAAAAAGAAACTTTTACTTGACATGTGTTCATGTGTGTGCAGTGTTATCAGATCTTGATATAAAAAATGTATTTCTGGGGCACGTGGGTGGCTCAGTCGGTTAAGCGTCTGCCTTTGGCTAAAGTCATGATCTCAGGATCCTAGGATGGGGCCCCGTGTTGGGCTCCCTGCTCAGTGAGGAGTCTGCTTCTCCCTCCCCCTCTGCCCCTCTGCTTGTGCTCTCTCTCTCAAACGAATAAATAAAATCTTTAAAAAAATATGTATTTCTTACTTTAATTAGAGGTCAAAAAAAGTCAAAGCCACAGACATAGAAACGAAGGCAGGTGATAATCTGTTCAGGTGTAGGCAAGGATATAGGAAGAAGACAGCTCAGAAAGCAGGTATGCTCAACTGTAAATTTGGGCATTTTCACGCTTTCTTACAATAAAGTCGATCTGTATAGCTCCAAACTGGTAGTAAAGACACTTTTTAAAGGATCTATTTTATACAAGTTAAATCAAACCATCTTCATTAAATCTTACCAAAAACAAAAGGCTTTACTAAAAACCGGGTATTGGAGTAGCAATGCTTGAGAAGAAGAAATTTTTCTATTCAAAGCAGAGAATTTTTCATCAGGTGCTCTGTTACATATTTCATTTATAATTGCTCTTACAGCACATTTTGCTTTATCTTTCAATGAAACAGGAAAAGTGGTATTTGTTGGTTTAAAAAAAAAAAAGAGTTTACCTTTCCAAGACACTGGTAATCAGGATTTTAAAATGTGATCAATAAAAAGCAAATTATCTCAAACAACCAAATATGTGTATTTTGATTCAAATAAATGGACAGTAGAAGGGACCTTTAATATAATTGGTAAAATCTGTATATGGCCTGTATTTTATCAAGTAATAACTGTTCATTTTGTCAAATATGAAATGACACTGTGGCTATTTAAAAAAGAAAAATCCATATGGGATAAAATAACATAAAGTCTGGGATTTGCTTTAAAGCACTCCAGTAGGGGGGAGGGGAGGGAATTAAAGGGACAGATGAAGCCTACTTTATGAATCAAGATGATTGGTACACTGAAGTTCACAATTCTTTCCTTTTTACATTTGTGAATGTTTACAAAGCTCAACACATTATTCTAAGAAAATTAAAAAAAAAAAAAAAACCTAGCCTTACGGATTTAACAAAACAAATGACTAAAAATCAATAAATTATTGCCAAGTACCCCAGGAAAGGAAAAAAAAAAGTAAAGCTGTTAGTCACACTGTGATATAATCAAAGTTCAATTTCGTTTGTTCCTTAAAAGACAGGGTGAAGTTACAGTGTGACCATACTTTCTAAGTCTAGAATACTATTATGAATCTTATAAAAGGGTGAGGTGCCATCTTTATCATGCTATTATAAGATGCTGGTAGACGCAAAAAATAGCATGAAACAATAAATGCAAGAAATAAGGAAATCTTCAGGAGGTATCTTTTGAAAACAAAAGGCATATACTGCCACTTTTTTTTTTAAGATTTTATTTATTTGACAGAGAGAGACAGAACGAGAGAGGGAACACAAGCAGGGGGAGTGGGAGAGGGAGAAGCAGGCTTCCCGCTGAGCAGGGAGCCTGATGTGGGGCTTGATCCCAGGAATCATGACCTGAGCCGAAGGCAGACGCTTAGGGACTGAGCCACCCAGGCGCCCCTATATACTGCCACATTAACAGGCACAAATAACATCTGTACACTCAAAAGGGGTTTTGAGGGAAAGAAACAAGTGTTGGATTTTGTTTATGCTATTCTTAAAATCAGGCCTTTTTAATTAAAATCTTATAGCATTCGAAATTTTGTTTAAAGAGAAACTCTGTTTTGTAATGCATTTCTCTTGACCGATGCTTAAAGGAAATAATAAAACAAGTTGTGCGATGAAGGAGCCTAACAGTGTGGGAACTCGACAGAGCAAACATCAAAGAAAGACCTTGTTGTGGACTAATTAAATCAATATATCTGAGAGACGGCACCACTGCTCAGAGATGTGGATTAGCCTCCTGTCCTCGTTTTTATTTCCCTTTGTGTTGTTTCAATTTCTAAGGACCCTTGATACTGTCTCGCCAAAAAAATGTTTCCCAAGAGATACCATTAGGATGCTGTGTCACCATGTGACATTTCAAAACCCTGCTAGATGGCTAGACTTGTTGATATGAGAAATAGGTTTTCAATAGCACAGGGCAGCCTTGTTCCCACAGGAGCCTTGAGAGCACTGTTTAAGCAGTCCCTCCAAATATATGTTACTATTTTGGTCACAGGCATACTCTTTCCATGGCTGCAATATGCAATTAAAGAGAACTTCCATCTAGGCTAACTTGGAAACAATCTTGTCAAAGCAGCTTGTCATGACAGGAGTTTCCCAGAGTCTCCTTGATACTGAACACCATAATGTCTGAATCTAAAGGGTCTTCCTTTAATGCACAGGATGGCTGCTCACAATTGAGAGAAATTCTTGTAAATGGCATCATATAACTGATACAGACATAAATGTGAAGAATATATTTCCATATAGAGTGCAGAATTTATCTAAAAAGGGAAACTCGTGGTCTCTCTTATTTAATCTTTCTCCTCTCCTCTTCCATTCACACACTGCAAATATTTTAAAAATTTATAACTTAATCGCAAGAATGAAAGTTAAAATACATAGAACAGTACAGTATTAGTCTACAAATTTAGATTAAAATATGATTTTAACATAACCATTTTAAACATAACAGATTTATATTAACTTCTTACCATTTATTTTTGAAAACTATACAAGGATAAAGTACTATAATTTTAAACGAACCATATTTAGGTAAAGGGATGGGTGTTTATGGTGAGAGATAAGGCACTTAAATAATTCTGATAACGTCAATCTTTGATGAACTTCCTTAATCTACCCTCAAAATATAAAACAGTTCTAAAAACTAACTTACAACCTGAGAGCTGCCCAACTATTGCACATTTCCTGCAGTGGTTCAGTTTTTGTTACAAAAATTAAATGAGTTTTAAATGAAATTTAATGTACAATGCTTTTATTCCTACCGATAATCAGATGTTAAAATGAAGATTCTCTGGCAATGATTTTCTTTACTTTTTAAATCACATCTGTATTGACCTGCCATCAGGAGAATGATTTCTCACAAGGGCCAAGTCAATGCCATTGATTTTCTTTTAGAGTAAGGTAAAGCACTTGTTCTCTGCAGTGAAAGGAAACTTCTTTCTCCCTAAATCGACTTCTATAGCAAGAGGCACCTGACCTCACATTGTTTACCACCAACTTGGAATCGCAGCACAAGCTTCATTTCCACATTTGACTCCTCCATTTTCTCTGTTTCCTTAAATGGCATCTGCTTTTATGACATCAGCAGAAGTCTTAACAATGGGCAGACACGGGGAAATACCTAGGCCTAACTGTACAGTACTTACCTTGGAATAAAAGAACACTTTTAATTTAAATCAGACTATATAGATTATGGTATGTTGTCCTAAAAACAAGAAAGTAGGGCATTTTGGTTTGTAAAATGGCAACATTCCCAATTCTATGCATGAAAAAGTCTTCTTTCTGCAGCCCCTTAAGCTGTTCTGGTCTAAAGCCATATGCTCTTCCTCTATCAACAGAGCAGAGCAGAGCTAGTGAATAGAGGCAGTTGAAAATCACGGATTTTGGTCCTTGGAACAGTCTGTGTAGCATGCTTTAATTAAGAGAAGACAGGAAAAACCAGTTTCTAAGCCAACCTCCAAATTAGCATTTATTTTGAAAAGATATTTTACCAGTTTAAAATGGTTCTCAGAAGAAGGACAGTGTGTTTCCACTGGGGCTAGTTCAGGTCTTGGCTGCCATAAATCACTTCTTAAATTTACCAAGAAGAAAGAGTCTCCAATAAAACAGTCATTCTCTTGTGGATGAAGTGGCTTATCAGCAAAGGGGTCAGGATGACAACACCATTCTTCAACTAGAGCTCCCCAGTTCTCACTCGGCAATGGGAGCACCCTGAGGAGCTTCCTAGTAGAGAGGGGAAAAACAATTTTTTTTTAAATTTTATTTTATTAAGAAGTCAAACTCTCACTCTTTGCAGATGATAGGAAAAACGATTTTTTAAAGAACAAAATGGAAATGTAGCATTTTCTTAATTAAATCAGCATGAAAATGAAAGAAACTCATTAGCTACATTGTCTGCAATGATAATTCCCCCCCAGATTACAAAAGTAATATATACTTATTTATGATCGGCAGTTTGAAAATGTATAAAGGTATAAAGGAAATAAAAATCATCCTTTCCTTACCATCCAAAGACAGGTAACTACTTTGTAAATGATGGGATATTTCCTCGCAATCCTTTCAAGAAACATAGTTATACCCATGTACACAGTCTGGGATCAGAAGATCTACACAAACTGTATCTTGCTTTCACTGTTTATTTAGTTCTATTATGATTCTTAATGATTCCATTCTATTCCTTAGGCTTGCCCGTTAACTTTTTTATTTTTTATTTTTTTAAAGATTTTATTTATTTATTTGACAGAGAGAGACACAGCGAGAGAGGGAACACATGCAGGGGCAGAGGGAGAGGGAGAAGCAGGTTTCCCGCAGAGCAGGGAGCCTTATGCGGGGCTCGATCCCAAAACCCTGGGATCATGACCTGAGCTGAAGGCAGACGCTTAATGACCAAGCCACCCAGGCGCCCCAAAGCTTGCCAGTTAACTTTTAGATCATTCCCTCACTGGTGGATATTCAGGTTTTGAGTTTTTTGGTATCAACAACCCTGTGATGAACCTTCCTATTAAAAAATTTGTATACATACCTGATTATGTCCTTGGGAAAAAAATCTTGCAAGAGTAAGACCACAATCACAAATGATATCCATATTTTATTTTATTTTATTTTTTTTAAAGATTTTATTTATTTATTTGAGACAGAGAGAATGAGAAAGAGAGAGCACATGAGAGGGGGGAGGGTCAGAGGCAGAAGCAGGCTCCCTGCCGAGCAGGGAGCCCGATGCGGGACTCGATCCCGGGACTCCAGGATCATGACCTGAGCCGAAGGCAGTCGCTTAACCAACTGAGCCACCCAGGCGCCCTGATATCCATATTTTAAAACCCCACACATATTGGCAAACTGCTTTTCAGAAAGGCTATATGAATCTCTAATTCTTCTACTTACCTTCTTCAGAATTGAATACTATCACTTTTCCATGTAAGGGGTGAAAATATTCTCCATATATACTGTTTTAATTGGCAACTCTTTAATTACTAGTGAGATTGAACTGGCTTTCATATTTATTGACCAGCGTGTTTCTTCTGTGAGTTGTGATCAGTGACTATTTTCCAATGAGGTGTTAGTATATTCTTACTAATTTTTAAAAGTATATTCTATCTTAAGAATATTAGCACTTTATCCATCATCTGTGACAAATACCTTTTCAGTGTTACTGCCCTTTAATTTGGTTTGTCTTAAATTTCAAATTACCTAACCCTTTCTTCTGTGATTTCTCCCATTAATTATTTTTCAATAACCTTTTTTTTGGGAGTAATTTTAAATTTACAGAAAAGTTAAAAAACAGTACAGACAGTCCTCATATACACTCCACCCAGCTTTCTCTAAGGTTAACATCTTATATAACCACGGAAGATTTGTCAAAACTACAAACTTTATCTGGATTTCCCTAGTTTTTCCATTAATGTCCTTTTTTTACCTTTGATCTAGGAACCAATTCAAGATAACACACTGCCGTTAGTCATCATGTTTCCCTAGTCTCCTTTAGTCTGCTACATTTTCTTAGTCTGTCCTTATTTTTTAGGACCTTGAAATTTTTGAAGAGCAGTGGTCTGGTGTTTCACAGAATATCCCTCAATTTAAGTTTGTCTGATGCTTTCTCAAGATTAGACTGGGGTTATGGGTTTGGGAAAGAATACCACAGAAGTGAAGTGACCTTCTCAGCACATCTTATCAGAGGGTACACTCTCTCAATCAATATGACTTATCACTGGTGCTGTTAAACTTGCACATTTGGCCAGGGTGGTATCTACCAGGTTTCTCCACCAATAAAGCTACTATCCCTCCCTTTGCATACTCTATTCCTTGGAAGTGAATCACTAAGCCCAGATCACACTCAAGGGGAAAGAAATTGAGCTCCACTCTATTATTATTTTTTATGCTTAAAAGAGCCTTATAATTAAGTAGACCCTTATATTTGCTACCAGTTTTTTTTTTCAATGGTTTCATTTTTTTTCTGGACAACAAGAGATACCTCGGACTTTATCAGAAGAAAAGCTAAACATGATTTACCTCTATTCTACTCTAAATTAGGGAGATCCGTAGTCTAAGAGGAGAAGAAACATGGGCAGGATGATGAGAAACTTCAAAATAATTAATCCTGAGAAAAACTGAGAATAAAAACATGTTCGTGGTCTTCCTAATGCCCATGAGCAGTGTGAATGCTTAAAGCAGCCTGAATACTTGCACACCTCTGTTCCTATGCACAGAAACATGTGCTGAGAGTCAACTGTATTTGATTACAGACCTGTTTATGCCACTTATACCTTATTTCAGTTACATAATTTAATAGTGTGTAAACAAAGGAAATATGAATTGCTATTCCCCTGAAACTAAAGATTTCAGACTAAAATGAAAGCCAGTTGTAAAAAAAAAAAAAAAAAATTAACTGGCAAGACATGGGAGATACAATTACAGAACATTGGAAAAAGGGAGGAAGAGTAAAAATCTAGAAGAAGTCTACAATTCCACTGCTTTAAGACTGTGTTACTTCTCATTCCATTTAAGAAAACACAAACTAGAAATTGTAGATGATGAATTTTGGATGAAATACCTGATAATAAAAAAAAGCTACTCAACAGTGGAGTCATGTTCAACAAAAAGATATTGGTTCCATAATAAAATATTAGTAAATTAATCTACATTTGCATGTTTTAAGTTAAAATATTTGAGATGCAAATGTATTATTTTTTTAACGATTTCCCCCATGTTAGCCCTTTTTCTTTGATCTCCTCAACTATAAGTCTCATAAAAAGACTCTTAACTACAAAGAACAAACTGATGGTTACCAGAGGGGAGGGGAGTAAGGGGATGGGTTAAGTAGGTGATGGGGATTGTTGTGATGAGCACCGGGTGTTGTAGGGAAGTGCTGAATCACTACATTGTACATTTGAAACTAATATTACACTGTATGCTAGCTAACTGAAATTTAAATAAAAACTTAAAAAAAAAAAAGAACCACCAATAAGGAAATGACAGGTGAACACACCACTTTCTCCCACTGGAGTCTCTGGACGGGAACTGTGGAAGCAGGTCTTTGAGCAGCATCTCCATTACCACCTCACCCAGCTTCTCAAGTATCAGCCCAAAGCCAAGACCCGCCACAGGCCTCTGCCCAGTAATTCTGGATCCACCAGCAACAACAAACCCAGGGAACCCTCAAACATTCCACCTGGAGCCCTGCCAGCAAGTACACTCATGGATTGGTTGGCTATTTGATCAGGGATGGGGGGGGGCATTTGTGAATATGTGATTCCCTCTATTACTGTTTAATGGTCATTCTTCTAGATCTCTTTCTTACTGTTCTTACATCAATATAAAAGTAAAATATACTAAAATGTGTCCATCTTTTTTTTTTTTAAAAAAAAGGCAATTACAATATGGAAGAGAGTAGACATTTAATTTATAAATCCAGAGGACAAAGTTAGGAAGAAGAAAGGCTGATTTTGGTTTAACATAAGGAAGAACTTTCTCTTTCAAATTAGGAAATGTTCACTAATAGCATCACTCAAGCTGCTGAGCCTGTTTAGGATATTAAGTGATTCTTTCAATATCCATTTTCTAAAAGTCTTCTATGAAACAGGTACTCTGTTGACACAAAATATTAATACACACAGTTCCACCTCTCAAGGTACTCAGGGTTCTAGTAGGAGATATAGACCTATGAGCAAATAATAAAACCTTATAAAATAAATATAATAAATGTTCATAACAAAGTAATGGTTCTAAATCCAAAGGGGGCTGGTTAGACCCCCCTGAAAATTTAACAAAAGTTTTCGCCCTTTCTTCAAATATACATTCCCACATGCACACAAAATCTGCATATTACTTCAGGGAATTCATGAATTCACAAAACCAACCCACAAATTCAGGGAAATAAATACAAAGTGCTAAGGGAGTAGAGTGGACATGGATTTCAGAGAAGTAATACCTGAGCTGACCTTCGAAGGAAAAATAGTTCTTCTGACAATGAAAGGAATTAAGGGTATCACGGGGGGGAGGGGGGGGAGAGGAGAGTTAACAATATAAAGATGAGCACCATATTCCTAGTGTCTGGCACAGTGCCTGACTCAGTATAAGTTCTTAAATACTTGTTAAAGGAATGAATAAGCACATTTTGATAACTATAACACGTGAGGCCCCTGGTTGGGTCTGTCACATACTGGGATGAAAGGGTTAACAAACCTTTCCCCTTGCTGCTTGAGAATCTTACCTTTGATTTAACCACGGAGCTCTGTTGCCCTGGAAACCAGGTAGATGGTAGGCAAGAATTATATTGCTAGGCAACATCGCTTATGGTAAAAATGAACCCTGACCGGTAAACTGCATCTGGACTGAAAGGAAGTATGAGTGAGCTGCAAATATCTGATGAGGGTGCCATGCTTGGGACTTGCCTGAATGCGGTCCTTTGCAAGGAACCCTAGAAACTATGCCAAAGAATTGTTACAAGAGATACGGGCTGCTTAGGTCATGAGGCTTCTTCTCAGGGTAGCTCCCGCACCTGCTTGATTATGGATCTTGAGCTTTGTACCTGGAACTGTGTCACATGGGAAGACAAGAGTCCCCCGACGGGTATGTGAGCTGTCACTTGCTTCAACTGCAGCAGGACCCCTGCTGAGAGGAACTTTTGATGCTGCCCTGCTGGCAAGCTGGCAAGAAATGTGGCCTGTGGTAGTACTGTGAGCCTGCAGATTTTATTTATTTATTTGAGATAGAGAGTGAGAGAGAGC